CTACATTGATGCAAAAGTCCGAAGGCGATATATGACGCCTCAGCTCGAATCGTCCTTGATGAAAGCTTCCTGTTTACGCTCAATATAAGCGTGCGGATTTTAGGCTCAACGTCATATTGGACTGAAGCCGTACATTGCATTGAAAAAACATGGCGCTAAAGGTTTATTTTAAACTCGAAACGGTACAATGAATTTGTAAGAAGCATCCTAAAAGTTGTCGAGACGTCTTTATTACCCTACCAAATTACAGGAATTATGTGAAGCATTATTTCCTCAATTCATATCGTATGACGATCATAAGGGTCACATTTAGTAGGCCTTGTTGAACTAACACTAAAATTATAATGATTTTGTTTTTTATGGGTTATTTGTGTTTTTGTTTTTAAAGGCCAATTTCAAACCGTTTCATAAACAATGGCTTGATTTTTTTTCTGTGAAATCGAGTTTCGGCGATGCATGTAATGGCCTGTTGTCTCCACCTGTCTGGACAAACAGCCTCCATAGATACAGTTGACACAGACTTTGTCTACAGAACCGTGGTTAAGAACCCTGTTGGAAAACGGATGGAGCCGTTGTGAAATGGTGGAGACCCCCGAGTAGACGCTGACGTTGACTATGGTGCACGTGTCGGCGATGCTGCTCCCGCCGGGAGAAAGCCTTTCATACCATGTGAGCTCATACAAGGCATTGATGGCCCATTACTTCGTTCCGCTTTCCAGTTCTACTTTTGTAATTTAGCGATAATCGTTCCGGTATCCAGTTTAAGTTTTAGAATCTTAAGCGGAACATATTTTTTGAGAAACATATGCCCCGCACCTGCCTCGTGCTTCTACTTGGTTTCTGCATGAGGTACTCCACAACAGGCTTAACTCTCTTTATTTTGGTCCAATTCATAAAACCACCTCTTGATGGAGTGTGCCTTTTGCAAACCTCGCAAAGAGCGACATGCCCATCATATTGCGGCAGTCGGCGCATGCACGTGTCCAGCACGTGTTATGGGTGTTTGATAATGCAAGAAGTCTATGTAAACATACATATAAAACGTCAACGGCGGAGAATAATCAGTGTCGATTACCTGCCCAAAGAGATTCCATTGGGCGTAAAGGGCATATTAGCAATGATAATTATGTCAATTGCCCACTGATAGTCAGCGCTGACACCAGGTGTTCCTGGAAAGAGTAAACATGTCCTGCCCACCGGCAGCAACCTCCGCTCTTACAATTTGAATTTTAAAATTATCGTTTGTTGCCTGATATAGCAAAGAAGAAACCCTTCCACACGAGGGCGGCCTTATACAATGGAAGTCCTGACCAGACAATCCCGTGACGCCCCAAGAAGGTCTTACATAGTGGAGATGGTGATTTGTAGAAACGTTGTCATCAACAACGCAACAGCTTACGGACTTAAAACAAATACTATATTCTAAAATCAGAAAATCTTGCAAATCCGGTCTAATTTAAGAAAACAGCCAATAACTCATGAAACAAACACTTACATTCTGGGACAGGTAGCTTTTCTAATTGCCTGTCCACCCCAACAAAACCCACGTCACCCGATTCATCCATGCCTCTAGTTAATCACGACGTATCCTGACAACGATCATCCAAATCACCGCCAACATTTTTGCCAAAACAACAACAAACCAACCCCCAAATAATAATTAAAATCAACCTAGGTCTATCTGTCCAATCCCATCTGAACAGCTTCAATATAAGCCCCAGCCGTTTCAACTCAAACTTGTAAGTACAATCTAAATCCTAATCCCATCCGTATCAATGTAATCGACCAATGAATCAATCAATTGTTCTTCAATGACAACCCCGGTTCTATCAATCCAATTTAATCCCTACAGCTTCAATCCAAGTACCATGGCTCTGTATCTTTCCAATCCTATCACTGTACAGCTTCACTCCAAGTCCCAGCGCTATAAATATAATTTCATTAATACAGCTTCAGTTCAGGTCCCGGTTCTATCAATCCATTCCCACCCCTGCAGCTTCAATCCAAGTCCAAGCTCTATCAATCCATTCCCGTCCCTACAGCTTCAATCCAAGTCCCAGCTCTATCAATCCATTCCCGTCCCTACAGCTTCAATCCGTCCCAGCTCTATCAATATAATTTCATTACTACAGCTTCAGTTCAAGCCCGATTCTATCAATTCAATCCCATCTCTACAGCTCCATATCTTTGTCATTTTCCATTAGGATTCTTTCAACAGCCCTACCCTGAAACAGAAACAATCAAAGCGTTAAACACCTAGGTACCTGGTTCACCCCCACCCCCATTCCCCGGTGGCACCCCCCACCCCTTCCCCTCATTCCACTTAGAGGCAGGGGTCACCAAGTCCGGGCGGGATCCGACCGAGCATATCGTGTTGGCGCAGCAGGCCGGAGAAGGTGTTATTTGGATTAGGACTCTAACAAGCTACATTTCTGGAGCGTTCTGGAGATAGAACAGGCTAAGCAGTGTGTGTATCCTGACAAACGTGCCCATTTTATAGTACAAAAATAGTCTCAAACGAGCGCGAAATAAACTTCGCTTCATTGAGCCCTATTTTTGACTGCTTTCGCCCCTTGCCATAAAACGGCTATAAAGTGATGGCGCGACAATCGGAGCCCCTTCAACGAGTGTATGCTCTCTCGGATCCCCTGCGGCGTTTCCCCGGGGGCGAGGGACCCCAGCCATTCTCAGCCACTTCCCCAGTTGGGGACACAAAGACGTCGCCAAATGCAGTCTCATTTACATAGTGAATTTATTCTCTCCCTTCCATGTTCGTGTTCATAGAGTTTCCGTAATGACTGCATGGGGCATATGCTGGAGTCGACCGCTCCCTTACATAACGCCCTGAAGGTTCGTTCACACACTATATAACGGTATCAACATAGCGAGGCTGTAGATACACATTTAATTAAAACATTGAGATGAGTAACTATATTTCTTGTGTAATCATACACTGTTCAAATGTTTCATTGATGGTTTACTTAGGTTTCATTAATGGTTTGAATACATTTCACTGATGGTTTAAATAGGTTTTGTTGGTGGTTTAAAAAGATTTCACCTATGGTGTCAGTGAGTGAGTTTAGTTTTACGCCGCTTTTAGCAATTTTCCAGCAATATCACGGCGGGGGACGCAAGGAATGAGCTTCACACATTGTGCCCACGTCGGGAATCGAACCTAGGTCTTCGGCGTGGGAAGCGAATGCTTTAACTGCTAGACTACCCACCACCCCGATGGTTTTCAGATATTCCACACTATAAAATATGTTTTGAGCAGGGTCTTCCATCATTTACGACCAAAATCATTACTGGAGGATTTACGGTTATATTGCTTTCCTAGTAATATTATCTACGCTTGAAATAAAACAATACCAGCGTCGAGGAAGGGAACCCATGTCCTGCCTGGAAGGTTTCTAAATATTAAAGGACAAACTGACAAGTCACGAATTCCAGGCGGAACAGATTCCATTGGGCGAAAAAGGTAGAATAGCGTTGAAAATTATTTGAACGGATCACTGCAGTAATAACTCCAGCTGTTATATGTAATACGTGAATAAACGTCTACGTCAGACCCACTTGGACTCAAGTCCACGGTGCTGTATAAATTAGACATTAATCCTTTAATATATGACCCCACTTGCACTCTCTACAACCGATTTTTGTATTTGGCAATAAGTAGACGATCTCTTTATCCACTCACAGGTTCATCGTAATGAGTGGCCGGGAATGTGTTCGCTGTTTGCAAGAGCGGAGCAGCTGCGAAAGGCATGGAAAATGTTATCTCCCTTTCATCTACCATAATATCGGCTTGGCCCGAGACAACACCCTCAGTAAAAGCGCTGTGCGTTACTCGTTGCCCTATGCTTCCATTGTTATCTGCCCTCCTCAACCTCTGGGAAACCTAGCATCATTAAGGACCTCTGAGACAAAAAGCAAATCATTGTTTGCCGTGATCGGTAACTGATAATCACGTGATTTTTCACCTGTTAAGGCATAACAACTCGTACAAGAACAGGCACGTGTAAATGTTTAAGCAGTAAACCTACGACGGGAGTTGATTGGTAAAAGCTCAACTGCTCTTAAAGACCAATAGCAATCTCCTTGGCATGTTGGTGCTAAATGCAAGATACGAAATCAATGGCGTCCACTGCGTTAAAAGTCGTTAGGGGGCATTGTGGTGTTACAGATTTAGTGCACTCTTAAGATTTTAATCGAATCTCGATCTAGAGTGCGAATTAAACTTTTACGACAAATCACAGGTGTATTACTATGACCCCGCTCTTTTCCTTCGATCAAGGTCGCCTTGTTCTGATCACAAAGGGCGTGAGTAGGAAACCGTTCACACGGTGTGACAACCACTCTCGGAGACTAATCCACGTGGTTAAAACTCGCCAATTCATAAAAAATATGCTCCTTCTGAAACATTGAACCCACGTCATCTAGCAGACTTGATGGAGCTGCCAGTACAGTTGGTCAAGGATACGGACTCAGTATCTTGTCATTCCATGGTTCCCATATTTATATTTGTCCTATAAGATCCGACCGCCGTTATGGAGTGCCAATATTTGAAACCCATCTTGTGAAGGAGTCTTAGGTATTAGCATTCTTAACATTTAAAAGTTTATGTTCATCTTAAACATTTTTTTAATACATCTTAAACATTGCGCATATTTATTAACTTGTGACTGTCAACTACCATGCATAGTTGTGTTCGTGTATTGTATTTGACTATTCGATAGTCTCTTTTATAATAATCACGTGTTGATGCTTTGCTTTGTTGCCTTTACACTCTCACTGAGGTTAGAAAGTATTATGTTATCTACCTTAAATCTTGGCTGAAGTTTAGAAAATTCATTTTTAACGATAAAAATGCAACAAATCAACTGAAGGAAAAAAGAAAGTATGAATGTGTGTTGGTGGACTAAAATAAAACAAATAATAAACGCTTAATCGACATTGATATATTTTTTCGTCTGCAGCGCGTCGGTGACTGTTTTCAAGTCAGTATATAACGCTTTGATAATATTTATATTTTCAGGTCAAATCCAATTTGAAGTGTATTTCTCATACCCGTCACGTTAACAAAAAAACACCAGTTACTAAAGAAATCCTTTCTGTACGCCTCTCCTTATGGTCCTGAAGGCATGTTGGGATCATATTTATCAATCCAAGTACCTATTCTATCAACTCGACCCCGTGGCTACAGCTTTAATCTATGTACTGACTCTATCAATTCTACAAACATACTTGACATGTGTTTAGGTTTTTAAGTAGAACAGAAATAGTGTGTCTATATCATCAAAATATTGATTAATTCAGGCGTATTTGTGAAAGAATTGAAATTTCTAAAGAGACAGCACAAAACATCTTCAGTTAAATATTATTCTTTATTAGGCACAGGTTGCCCTACGAACCAAAGACTCACTGGGGTGTTGCAGAGAAGCGTTCCGCCAACGTTATTTGTTGTCTTTCCAGTATGCGCAAAATGGCCAACACACGCTGCACTTATAGAAAAAGTCGAATTCAAAAAGAGTTTATTAAAGTAAAACATATTGTATTAAACAACATCCACGAAGCGCCACAAAGACTTCTCCGACGTTCAAATGGTAGCTGGCATTCCTATCGGCAGTTAACGATCCATGGTGTAATTATAAGGAGGTTTCGATATTGTACCCCGAGAAAGGCTTTTATGGACATAATGTCATGTGCAAGGTATGCCCAGTGTCTATCACCTGTCGGGGACAGGTAAACGTCCCGATGATTCTGTCCGATGTTATGCCCATTTCACATATACAGTGTTTGGACTTCTGTCATGGTGGAGCAAATGGGAGTGTTGCTGATGAATGTCTGTTGACGGTTGAACTCTGAAATTAAGTGCTGAAGAATGATTGAAGACTTAACAATTCAGGAAAACTACTATTTTTATATTTGTGTAGTTTTTTCCATGTGTAATCATATCATCAAAATACCTTAGCACAGGTAACAGCAGCTCAGTTTCAAGTTTAATCTTTTTAAACTGTTTAAATGGAGTGGAGTGTCTGTGAAGGATAGTTCCATATTTCACGCATCAGCGGTCAACATAATGTCAGATGCAATTTCCCAACTTTGTCCTCGTGATTTTCAGGCGAACAGTTGACGTACCTGTGCATGTATTTATGACCTTTTCATCCAGCATCATCACTATATGATCAGGGTGATGATACAATGGGAATCCTGGATATGGAAATGTATTCCATCGCTTCTGTTTATATTCATTCTATATATTCTATGAACGTATTTAATAGTATATAATTGCACAGATCGATGCTCATGCTGTTGATCACTGGATTGTCTGGTCCAGACTCGATTATTTACAGACCGCCACCATATAGCTGGAATATTGCTGAGTGCGGCGTAAAACTAAACCCACTCACTAATAGTATATATTTCTCTGTGTGTTTAAATAATGATCAAAACTAAACTGGTACCTGCAATATTAGAAGTCGTTTACCTATATTTTAAGTAAGATTTGTATCAAATCAATATTACACAAATATTGCGTGTGTAAAACCCATAACTGAAGTATAATTGTAATTTATTAAAATTAGATACGCTAACCCAATTTAGTTCAGTGACTGTACGTGCAGTAAATATCCCAGAATAATTAGGTGTTTTTCATAAAAGAAAAGTGATTTTAACACGCCAGATTCAGACTCAAAAGCAGAATCAAAAGCCATATGCAGTATCATTTTAGCTGTAATAATCCCCGATAATCCTGTGCAGATTGAAGTAATTGTCAACATTCTTTGAAGTTCGCAATGCTATAATTTAAAACTCCTGACTGTGCCCTACGCAACTGCATTTATGTGGATTGGGCGGTGTCTCCTTACAGGGTAACAAAGTTCAGATGATATGTATTTGTTCCTTTCTTTGAGTGGCATTTTAAAAGCTGATTATTATATTTGTTCCCGATTACAATAGATACATGGAATGACTGTTAGTATAGTTTGAATATAACAATAGATAAGTGTAATCCATTAAATATAAATATGAAAAGAGCTCAGTCGCAAAACTAATACTCCGCACATCGCGAGTACATGGTGTGATACCTTTAAGTAGGCTACTGTCGCGTGCAGGTGAAACAAGCTCCACACAGAGTCGGAGATAATTAGTGTCGCGCGGCCCGATCGCCAGGCTGGCAAATTGTCCGTGGCATCAATGGACTCCCGCTAAAAGAGATAGGATCGACACCGATTATCAGATTCCCGGAGTTGCTCTTAGATTGTAATGACACATTAATTTACACCAATTACATCTTCTGGGTGATTTTTCGAAAACACGAAAGAAATTGTTAGAGTATCGATCTGTTAGCAGATAAAATGAAATTAACTATTCATAACATTTTAAGGACATTGGGATTGTTCATTCGTGGGCAAGAAGTCAGATCAACATGCTTGTCAAATGGTTAGAGGTTCATCGTGAATAGTAATTAATGAACTTTTATTGCCTGGGCCGTGAATGAGACTACATAGATGGTTCCTTCAATCTGTCGGTTTCTCACAATAAAATCTGTGATGAAACCCTGGCCCGGCGTCCTGCGAGCTTGTCGCTCTTTTATTCATTACCCTCTCAAATTGACAAGTTTCTTTAATATTTCAGTAGGTGGGCTAATATTGGTCGTAAAGATTGAGTATGTTTAAACGATATGATTCAATGGTTTAACAGTCAAAACAAAATTAGTAGTGAAATGAGTTAAGCGTGAACCAGCGAAGCGGCGATTCTGGTCATGATGTGGAGTTGTTGAAACTGTATTTCACCCTTCGCTGGAGTGTGTCGGTCATGAATGTTTGTTTTAACGTGATGAGGATTTCATTAAAAATTGAAACATTTCATCGCGAACTCTCTCACCCGAGATACGGCTTTGTGCATGGTCAAGCGTGACTCGTCTTGATTCCGAGAATATGAAATCTGGTGTCCTTCGCCTTTGTATTAAATTATTTCGAATAGTTACTAGTGATTAAACATGAATTTTAGATTTACGCTTCACATTTCACATCGGGAATTGAAATAAAGAAGTATAATCCAAAGTAATACAGTGAGTAAACTTTAACGTGACCACGTCGGCAAGATGTCTGTCAAATCGTCACAAGAACAATGTCAGTATGAATACGGAATACACTTAGAAAATACCTTTCGACAAAGCACAGTAAAACAACTCGTGTATAACATATCTTGGCCTTTTGGTCGTCTCTACATGTACTTTTCAGCAACCCTGTTTAATGTGTTAGATATGACATTTAAATAACCCAATCTTTGTAACATCTATATGCACATATATATATGTATTGTTGTTTTGAAATGAATGGAAATGTAACCAAAAAGTGGAAATAAAAAATAATAAATAAATAAAATATTATATGAACTAGTATGCCATCATTAAAGATGATATCATTCGGATATCACTATACCGAACGATACACTATAATAACGGGCTATCGCCAACAACTGAAGGGACTATGAATCCAGTAGCTGGGGTCATGGAGCCAATGTAACAGACTTTAAGAAGTCGTGAGTATAGCTACGAAGCATTAACATGTCTCCTGTTGCCCTTCATATTATGTTGACCCGTAAAGGTCCGGGTTAGAATGTGCCTTCAGTAACCCATGCTTGTCGTAAGGGGCGACTAACAGGATCGGGTGGTCAGGCTCGCTGGCTTGGTTGACACATGTCATCGGTTCCCAATTGTGCAGATCGATGCTCTTGCTGTTGATCACTGGATTGTCTGGTCCAGACTCGATTATTTACAGACCGCCGCCATTTAGCTGGAATATAGCTGAATGCGGCGTAAAGCTAAACTCACTCACTCACTCACTCATACTATTGTGGCTGGAAGTAGCCTGTTCCCTTCGTTGATGTTTAATTTGGAATGGATGAGTGACGAGTGAGTGAGGGTTTACCACCTATTTAAACACAATTCCAGTTGTATTACGGAGACCATGACTATGGTGCTGACAAACCCAGGAACATGGTCAGGGATTCGAACCCATGAACATGGTTTCTGACTATGTTCCGGTCGAAACTGGGGAATACCGGTTCTAGAGGGTCATACGCTCCCCCTAAAAGTGAGTGAGTGGTTTAACGCCGCTTTTGGCAATATTCAAGCAATATCACGGCGGGGGACACCAGAAATGGGCTTCAAACAGTGTATCCATATGGGGAATCGAATCTGTAGCTTAGGCGTGACGAGCAAACGCTTTAACCTTACCACTGCTCCTTCAGAAGGACCACCAGATCGTTTGATCCATTACAAGTGGAAGTTTTGTGGAACTGGAACATTAGCGACACCTAACGTGTACCAGCCATTGACAACTATCCAGCGGTTAGGGTTGCCTCTGATATCAGCGAGTATGACTGATAGTCAAAAGCTGTTGTATTGTAAACATGGAATTAGAGACAGATATCAGCGACTATGATTGACAAAACACTAGCTGTTATGACTAACATCAATTTTAGAAGTTAGGATTGCCACTTATATCATGATTATAATCGGCACATTTCATTGTTTATTACTGACATTTCTATAATTTATTATGATTGGCACATATCAGTGATTACGGTTGATGCATAAATCATATATTATCATTGACAGGAATATCAGTCATTAGGAGTGAGTGAGTGTGGTTTTATGCCACTTTTAGTAATGTTCAAGCAATATCACGGCGGTGAAAATGTCGGTGTGGTGATATCATTCCAGAAATGGGCTTCACACATTGTACCCATGTGGGGGATCGAACCCGAGCCTCCGGCGTGACGAGCGGACACTTTAACCATTAGGCTACCCCACTGCCCCATCAGTCATGATGATTAAGACCGATATCAGCATTTAAGTCAGTGAGTGAGTTTAGTTTTACGCCGCACTCAGCAATATTCCAGCTATATGGCGGCGGTCTGTAAATAATCGAGTCTGGACCAGACAATCCAGTGATCAACAACATGAGCATCGATCTGCGCAAATTGGGAACCGATGACATGTGT